CTAGGGGCCTACGAGGCGCGGCAGAACAAGAGGCGGGAGAGCGATGAGACCAAGGGGGCCTACGAGGCGCAAGGCGTGGAGCCAGGTGGCGACGACTCGGCGAAGCAGTCGCGAGCCGGGGGCGGGAATAAGCAGGAGGGGCCACGCCAAATGGGGGAGCGGCGGGTCCAGGGGGGCGGGCAGGGCGAGCGCCGAGACCAAAGGGCCAAGCGGCGCAGGCCAACGACGGGGCAAGGCGCCACGAGGCGGCAGCGGCCTCGGCACCAGCAGCTGGTGTCTGGAGAGGGTGGCCTGAAAACCAAGCAGGGGGGCAAGACACTGCCAGCGCAGCGAGTGTCGCCCAGCCTGCGCAGGCTCGGCGGGGGCCCGCAGGGTGCCACAGGCAGCGAACAGAACCTGCAGAAAGCCGGCGAAACCCAGGTCGAGGCAGGGGACTGGAGCGGCGGAGCAGGGCACCCCCAAGGCGGGGAGGAAGGGGGAGCCTGGAAGCCACGAGTAGGCGGCAAGGCCAGCCCACTGGGACAAAGCCCACCCCAAGGCGGGGCGACCACGGCGGCAGCCGGGCGACCAAGGTCACCCAGGGCGCCGGCGAGAGGCCCACGCAGAGGGCGCGGGAGAGAGAAGCGCCTGCGCGCAGCGAGGCGCCGCGGGCCTGGGCCGCGGAGCAGACCGACGGAAACGGGGCGAAGCAAGCCGCGAGCGGGAGCTGGAGGCCCGCGGCGGGGGCGCCGAACAGGCGCACGGGTGCAAACGAACCACGATGGCAGGGGGGGGGAAGAGGACAGCGACCAGACTGGCCATTGCCCGGAGCCTGGGGCCGCCAAACTCAGAACAGGTCGAGGGGGCGGGGCAGCTGCGCGAGAGCTACCAGCGATGGCTGCTAGAGGCTGACCAGCGCTGACGGGCAGGGTCGTTGCTGGGCCAGGAGGACGGAGTCAGCCGGCCGCTTGCATGTCCCCTGCGGGGGGGGCCTCTTCCCTTTGCCATCGGTAAGCTCGGCGCTTTGCCTTCCATTGTCAAGTTCTCGGCACCGCTCGGCGCTGCAATCAGCTTGGACGCCTTCCCCCCTGCACCGCCTGCGAACGCCACGGTTGGCTTCACTGAGCTCGCGCGCGAAGCCACGGCAAAAGTCCGCGCGGTAGCGCTGGGGGTCCCGTGCGAAGCGCGGCCCACACTCGCGGTCGCAGATGGCAGCCCAGCCATTGCCAGCATGGGGCCACATTCCTTCTTGAGACGGTTAACCACATCATTATAGTCTCCCCTTGCGTCGGATCGGTAGTCCCAGGCGGGTGCCATGTCAATCTGCGCCTCGGTTTGCAATGCAGCTGACCCGCGTTGTCAGACTGGGCCAGGGGCAACGGGGCAGGGGGCGGCCGGCGCGGCGCCGGTCCCCGCCGCCAGGGCGGGGTCCGCTCCGTCGAGCCCCATCCGCGCCACCCTTGGGAGGCGCCTGGGCTGCGACGCCCATTAGTCCCGGAGATTTTCCGCGCCGGCCATTGTTCCGCTGCCCGCGAAGCGCCGGCGTCGGACTGCTCCGCCGGCGGAGCCTGCGCACGGTTGGGGCCGGAGGAAGGGCCCACAATGACAGGTCGGCTGGGAGGAGTTGCTGGGCCCGCGCCGCCTCTCGGAGCGCCCGCTGGCCGGACTGGCAGGGGGGGGGGGCCCTCCTCGCCCCAGTCGCAGGCCGATGCGTTGGAGCGCCCGCGAGAGGCCGAAGGGGGGGAGCTGCTGTCTGCATGGCCCCGCCCAGCCTCAGGGGGTCTTCTGGCGGCTCAGTCGGACGCGCGCCCCTGCTGCTGGCGCGGGCAGCCGCCGCCCCGGGCCCCGGCGGCGGCGGCCGCGGCGGCGCCCGGGGGGGGGGGGGCAGCCCAAGTTGCTGGGCGCGCAGGGCGCTGCCGCTGGGCCGCAGAATCCCGCGCTCATCCTCGGGGCCGGGTCCAAGGGGGCAGCCAGCTGCCGTCTGCGAGGGAGCATCGAGGGCGGCCCCCGCGAGGGCCTGCTGTTTTTTTTGCCGCGGTTGCCCGGCGCCCCCGCGCCAGCGGGCGCTGGAGTGACGCGATCTCCCTCGAGACCATGTAGCCGAGCAGGATGTCCTGGCCGCGCCGCGCAGGGTCTCGCCCCTGCACTGACGCTCGGGGGTCATGCTTGCTGCGGCGAGCGCCCCATTCGCCAGGCCCCTTTGCGCGCGGGGGCCCTCGCGATGCAGGTGGTTGACCCATCGAGCTCCAGGGGGGGCCCGGACTCTGGGATGGACTCGCCGTAGACGGAGGCCAGGAACTCGCGGCAGCATGCCTCAGGCCAAGCTCTTGGATCCGAGGGAGGTCCGATGCCTTTCCTGGGCTCGCGTAGCGAGGAGACGACGTTGTCCGCCGCCAACGCCCTCCAGCGCTCGTCTACCTCGGGAGAGACTGATCGGGCAAACGCCTTCTGATGTGCGCGATCGTTATGTCGGCACTTCCACGCGAGGTGTCAGGGTAGATTTGCCTGACTGCCTGCAGGGTAGCGATATCCCTCGCCCCCAGGCGGGGGCAGGTCGGTGGGTCGACGCTGGGGAGCCCATCCAGGAGGCCGGTAGGGGGCCGAGCGGGGTCCGTTGCATGTTTCGCCTGCGCACTGCCGTCTGTCCTTGGCGCTGAGGCTGAGCGACTCGGCTGGAGCCGCGCCCTGGCGCGGGGGCTGCGAGAGTCCGCAGGGCGGCGGCCCGACGACGCCTTGCCCCGACGGATGGAGGACTGCAGCGAGGCGCCGAGGCCGCCGCTGGAGTGGCGCGCAAGCGAGGCTGCCGCACGGCCACGGGGGGAACGGCTGGAGAGCGCTCCTGACGTGGACCTGCTCCCGGGTGGTCTGCCGGCGCTGCCTGGCCTGCTTGCTTCCAGGCTGCGGGGTCGCTGTCGGGCTGGCCAGGACCGAGGACGCTGCCGATGCGAGGCAGGCGGGTTGGAGGCGCCCGCATCCCTCGCTTCCTGCCGGGGGGGGCCCGCGTCCGACTTGGGGGCCCAGGCCCCTAGCGGGTCTGATAGGTGGTGGTCGTCGGGTGACAGGGACTGACCGAGGTGACGGCGCAGTAGCTGTGAGTTCCTGAACGCCCGAAGAGGCGAGGCCCTGTCTCCTTGGGGCGCCGCTTCGGGAAACAGTGCGCGCCCGCCCCTCTCGAGGATGGCTCTGACCTTGGGCGAACATCCCGCAGGTGCATGAGGCAATCATCACAAAACCACGTAGCGTTTCACTGCATGTTGGCGAAGGCCCGCGCACGCTCGCTGGGGAGCGGAAGGCCGCTGAGCAGCTGCAGCTGCACATTCTTCCCGGGACGGAAGATGAACATGCCCTGAGTGGCGTCTCCACACGGCAACTGCTTCATTGGAGCGTCGCTGGGGCAGCGATCGCATTGGCACTTCCACAGGCCACAGCCGAGATTCCTGTCGAACCTGTCGTCTATGGTGCGGAAGACAGGGATGGTGGTGCGTGTGTGGGCGGGGTCATGCGGGCCCGTCGGGACCAGCAGGAGGTCTGCCAGTGGGGTGTTTCCTTGGGCGGGGACAGCAGGGGGGCCCAGGCAGGGGGCTCGGGGGGCGCAGGCCTGAGTCGGGGACCAAGAGCGTCGAGGTACGCCGCAATCCTGCCATCGGCCGGCGCGGGCAGTCCCTTGACTGACATATTCGTGTGCCAACACCCAGAGCAGTGCCAGCGACAGTCCACCCCTCGGCGGTAGAACTGCAGGCGGGTGGCAGCAACCATCTCCCTGACTGCGGAGTCAACCCAGGCCCCTCCAGTATCCTTCTGGGGGTGGAAGGGGCCGCCCCCACACTGGTCGCAGCAGATGCGGGGGTTCCTCGTGTTCAGCAGGAAACGAACATCTTCCAGGCCGATGCTGGGGGGAGAGAGCGCGGCTCTGGGCGGGACGCCGGTCGGAGGGGCGACAAAAAGGTCCTTTCCCGCCTCCGACAGCCCACCCCCAAGGCACGACGGGTTGGAGGCCTGATGACCTTCTGGGGAGAGGCCCACGGTGGACCCGAGCAGGGTCTGCGAGAGGGTTTGAAGGCAAGAATTTCCGCCGGAGGAACGAGCTGGACAAGGGCCTCCAGAGTAGGCTTCAGATGGAAATGTCCGTGGGAGGCGTCCCCCCATGGCACACCGGCCTGATCCCCCTGGACGTTGGGATGGCGATGCGCGACGGTGACCAGCCTGCAGCACGCCTGGCACACACACACACACACACGACATTCACACAAACATACACACACACACACACACACAACAACGAAAACGCATATATCGGAAACCCGTCGTCGTCGTCGTGGTCGTCGGCCTCCTCCTCCTCCTCCTCCTCCTCCTCCTCCTCCTCCTTCTCCTCCTCCTCCTCATCATCATCATCAGCAGCAGCAGCATTATCATCATCATCATCATCATCATCATCATCATCATCATCATCATCATCATCATCATCATCATCATCATCATCATCATCATCATCATCATCATCATCATCATTAGCATCATCATCGTCCCCATCATCATCATCATCATCATCATCATCATCATCATCATCATCATCATCATCATCATCATCGTCATCATCATCAGCATCAGCATCATCATCATCATCATCATCATCATCATCAGCATCATCATTATCATCACAATCATCATCATCATCGACACCATCATCATCAGCATCAGCATCATCAGCATCAGCATCAGCATCAGCATCATCATCATTTATCATCACCCTACCGAACTGCGATTCGTCCGCGTTCCCGTCCCCACCATCGCTTTCGCCCGCAACATCATCGTCACCACTGCCATCACCATCACCATCATCATCAGCACCATCAGCAGCATCATCATCATGAGCATCAGCATCATCATCATCATCAACATCATCATCATCGTCATCATCAGCATCATCATCATCATCATCATCATCATCATCATTATCATCATCATTATCATCAACAACATCATCAACATCATCCTAATCATCATCAGCAGCAGCATTATTATCGGAATCAGCCGCGGCAGCAGCATCATCGTCGACACCACCATCATCATCGACATCATTATCAATGTCACCACCACCATCCTTTTCTTCATCATCAGCAGCATCATCATGCTCCTCATCTCCAGCATCATCATTATCATCAGCATCAGCATCATCATCATCATCAGCATCGTCATCCTCATCAGCATCGTCATCATCATCATCAGCAGCATCATCATCAGCCGCATCAGCAGTATCAGCAGCATCATCATCTTCCTCACCACCATCGGCATTATCATCATAATCAGAATCAGTAGCAGCAGCATCATCATCATCATCAGCACCATCATCTTCATCATCAGCAACAGCATCAGTATCATGATCCTCAGCATCATCATCGTCCTCATCAGTATCAGCATCATCGACAACAGCATCAGCATCACCATCATCAACAACATTGCAATCGCCAACATCTACAACAAGAACCACATCAGCGGCAGCATCAGCATCAGCATCAGCATCAGCATCAGTACCATAATCGTCAGCATCGGCATAACTACCATCATCATCGTCACCAGAATCAAGAGACTCGTCATCATCATCAGCAGCAGCTGCAGCATCATCAGCATCATCATCAGAATCATCATCAGCACCACCATCATCATCATCGTCAGCAGCATCAGCAGCAGCATCACCCGCATCGTTTTCATCTTCTTACTCAACATCAGCATGATGATGATGACCATCATCATCATCAGCAGCATCATCAGCATCAGCATCAGCATCAGCATGATCATCGTCGTTGTTTGTTATCGTCGTCGCCGGCTTCATCCGCATCGTCGCCCTACGGGCCACGAAACGCTGCCTTGGGTGGCGCGGACGCGTGCGAACGCAGTGCTGGGGCCTTCGGTGCAGCTCCCCATGGGGCCACGAAGCGCTTTACTTGGTGGCGCGGACGCATGCGATGGCGGCGATTGGGGCCTTGGGTGGAGCCCCCATATGGGGCCACGAAGCGCTGCCCTGGGTGGCGCGGCCGCCTGCGAACGCGGCCTCTGGGGACGTCGGTGGAGCTCCCTCCCTGTGGGGCCACGAAACGCTGTACTGGATGGCGCAGGCGCATGCGACCGCGGCCTCTGGGGCCTGCGGTGGAGCCCCCTTACGGGGTCACGAAACGCGCGAGGGATATGCCGAACTGGTTGACACGCGGGGGGGCAAGGGCACGGATGAGAGGGGGGGAGGGGGCAGCGGATGGGAGTGGCGCGGGGCATTCTCTTCAAGTCGACGACCCGGCACCACAGGATGGTTGGTAACAGCATATGGGACGCACAGAGACACACTAATACGATATGACATCCTTGGAGGCGCGCGTCCGATCCGAACATATAGTATACCCATCTTGTAGTAGATCGTTTCCCAAGCGGCGTGGCCACAAAGCGCCCGCCACGACGCATATACTACAAGATTTCTCGGCGCGCGCGTCGCCCCTGGGGGGGGGCAACGCACATAGAGTATAAGTATGTTGGGCTGACGGCGAGCATAGAGAAAGCGGAAGATAAAGAGAATGAGAGCGACCAACAACTACCCCAGGCAAACCCGCCCCATTTTTTCCACGCGAGGCAAATATTTGCACGAACACTTCATACAACAGAACACAAAGCTGGGTATGCACGAGCAGCGCTGCCCTCCTCCGCGCCTTCCAGAAACCCGCAAGTGGCGACACTTGCACGCCCCCCCGCCTCGAGGACGAACGGGGCGAAGGGAGAGGCGCTCTGCGGCGGCCGCCCTCGCCCTGGCACTCCAGATCGAGAACGGCGCGCTCCGTCTCCCCGGCGCGGCCCGGCCGCGGCCTGTCCCAGAGCGGGACGCGCTGCTAGTGGAGCGGTTCCTCGTGCCTCCAGCGCCAAGGCAGCCCGCCGAGCCGCCGGGCCAGTCTGCCGCGCCCGCGCACTACCCCGCCTCCATTCTGGCAGGTGGCGCCGTGGTAGCCGAGGTCGTCCAGTAGCCGCCCGCAGACCTCGCCGCTGGCGCTCCGCAGGCAGCAGTGGGCCGTCGCCGCCGCGAGCTGGCCCCGGTCGCACTCTGGCCGCCGGAGGTGCAGCCGTGGGCGAGCTGCCGTCTCCCAGTGCGCGTCCTCAAGCGCGCAGAGCGCCTCGGTGGGGCAGCCCGGGAAGGCCCCCGCGCCCGGCCCCGCTCGCCCTCGCAGAGCTTGTTGGAGAGGGGGCAAACGTGCAGGAGCGCAGCGCGGCGTGTCTTTTGAACCTTCTCCATAATAGCCAAAGCCCCGTTTGAGCTCGCGAGCCAAGAATTCACCCAGCGCCCCGCTGCCCGCCAGCAGCAGCCCCCGCCGGGCTAGGCCTTGCCCTTGTCTCGCTTCCTCCAGCTTGCTTGCGGCAGCTGGCAGGTCGCGCAGCGAGCCGCAGCCCAGGCCTCTCGCAACCTCGGCGGCCGCGCCAGACCAGGACGCGAGAAAAGCAGCGTTCCGCCGCGAGCAGGCCAGCTGTGCCCCGAGGCCGCCCAGGCGCCCAGTCAGGCCTAGTCGTTGCCTAAGTCGCGCCGCAGTAGCGTCTCCCAGCAGCACGCCAGCCGGGCGTCGTAGCGTCGAGTGGCCTCGTCGCAAGCCAGCTCCTGCCGCAGGGCGCGCTGGCTGGCGGCGCCGGCGTAGATTGCAGCATGGCCGCGGTAGCCTGCTTCTGCAGGCCCGCCCGGTGGAGCCGGTAGAGCGTGTCCCAGAGCTGCAGCCGCAAAACCGCCTTGTCGAGGCTGTCGGCGCGCGCCCCGAGAGCTGCGGGGTTGTCCTCTGAGCCCCCCCGCGGCCCGAGGTGCTCGCCAAGCGCTGGGAGAACGGCCGCGCAGCGGGGTTGCAGCGCAGGCGGCGCCGCCGCGATCCCGCGCGGGGACCACGCCGCGGTCTTCGCGCGGCTGAGTTCCAGACCGCGGGGCCCCAGGGCTGCCCCCAGCGCAGCGAGGACGTTCGGAGAGAGGCCAGCGTCGACCACGAGGCGCGCGTCGTCGAGGTAGGAGTAGCGCCTGGCAGCAGGGCCCAGCCTCTGGAGTTGCACCCAGAAGTCGGCGAGAGCCTGGCGTTGCGCCAACGAGAAGCCAGCGGGGAAAAGAGGGTCACCTAGGTCGAAACCCCTGCTGCTTGGACCTCGCGCAGCGCCCCGCCAGCACGAACGCATGGAGAGCGCCCCCCGCCCCCCACCCCCCCCACGTAAGGAACTGTAGACCAATGGGGCCGTCAAACGACGCGCGAACTGAGAGCGGAAACTGCTCGACGGTCAGCCAACGACAACGCCGCGACACTCAATGCGAACGGCGCGCTGCTGCCATGTTCACTGGCATTCGAACTTGGCGTTTCCTTGTACCGGCACGCGGTCAATGCCCAAAACCATTGTGGACATTCGCGCGCTCGTGCCAAGGCAAAAACCGATGGGCGCGTCGGCCCTTGGCGGCGCTGGCAAGAGCCCCACGCGGCGCCCGGGGCCCGCCACGCTCGGGCGCGCATCGAAAAGTTTAGACCCACCTGAGAAACAAAGTTTGCGCACGAGGCTGATTTTTATCCAAAAAATTAAATTGGATGTAAAATCAATCTAAACTTTCCCGAGGCAGAAAGTCCCTCGCGCGGGAGGGCCCCGAAAAGTTTGTAGAAACGGAAAACGCGTCTATACAAGCGCCAAAAAAACTGCGCGTTAACCCTGTTGCCTTAAGAGAAACGCTCCCGATCTAAACTTCGCCGCCAGCGGGGTCAGGAGGGGGCGACAGAGGCGGGCGCGGGGGCCCCTGGCTGGGCCAGCGGCGCTGCCGCGCGAGGGACAGCTCCGCCGTCGCCTCAAACTGCGAGCCGCGGCCGTGGCGCGCGCCGCCATGGGAGTGCTGGCGCGGGCGCGGCCGCGTCGAGCGGGCCCGGGACGTCGCCGCGCGCGCGGGGCCCCCCTGCGGCAGCTGGCAATGGTCTCGCCGACAGAGCGCCTACACTGACGCGCATTCGCCGTAGATGCAAAACGCTGACGTGTAATATCCATACCTATTGAGGCTGGGGTCGGTTCCCCACTGTTCACAGTAGTGGCCCACTGGGCCTCCGTACCAGGTGGACAGGGCGGCAGCCGCAGCGGGGTCGTGCCTCGCCATCGCTGCAGTGGCAGGTTGGCGTCTCAGTCTCTGGAATGCCGCCTTCGGGTCTAGCTTCAGGAAGACAGCTGTGGGTCGGGCCTCCGCCTGTGCCTCCAGACACCGCAGTAACAGGTCCACGTCCTTTTGTCTCCCCACGCCGTACTGGTGCTCGCCAGCAGCGGTCGTCAGCTGCTCCTTTCGCACTCGGACCAGCGCCCGCAGGCCGAGCCGCCGCCAGGCCGAGCTCACCAGCAGAGGCCGGACCTCGTCCCCCCTTTGTCGAGGGCGATGACCTCGCCGACCCGCAAGGCCTGCAGCGCCCCAGCAGGAAGAAGGCAAAAGGTCACCCAGGAGACCACCTCTGAGAGGAGCTGCAGCGTCTCCTTGCTGGCGGCTGCTGTCTCTAAGTTGTCCAACCTCTTTCTAAGCAGACCTGGTGCGGCGAGCCAGGCTGGTCGCCGCAGGAGCTGCCGGGTCTCCTCCTGCACCGCCCCGAGCAGCTCGCCGTCTGGGGCTTCGCGGGCGGCCGGCGCGGCCGGCACGGCAGCGTCCGCGCGGAAGCAGTCAAGGACCTTCCGCAAGGTCTGAGGCGTTCGCGGGGCAAGCTTCGCACCGGTGGCTGCCGTCAACGGCCGTCCCTCTTCCCCACAAGCGGCGAGAGCGTGGACCCGTGCGGCTCGTTGTTTATCGGTCTGTTCGCGGCTCCTATTCGGGATTGTTCTGCCAGCCCGAGCGGAAGCCCAGAGGGCTGCCCACTGCCCGCCCCAGAACCACGCAAGCTTTTCTTCGAGCAGCTCCCCACAAGTACCGGCGTCAGACGACGTGGACAACAGAAGCACGTCCACTAGGAGGACCACCTTCCATGCTCTCTCGGCCTCCGAAGACCCACGCGCAAGCTTGAGGACCTCAAGGGCCTTGTGCCGCGCCTCTTGGAGGGCCCCCCGGAAACGGTCCAGGACCTGTACAAAGGTCGTCGTGCCGGCCTTGAGGGCGGTTTCCCAGCTCAGCGTGTCCCACCAGGCGGCGGCGGGCAAGCGCTGCTCGCCCCCCTTCCGGGTGCAGGGGCGCGGCGTGCTGGCAAGGGTGGCCGGCGCCCTCGCCAGCTGCAGCTCCAGCCGAGGCTGCCCCCGGGGCCGCTTGCACGCGCATCCGCGCTGCGTCCGCATCCTTCTGGGTCGAACGCCCGTGAGGGACCCCGCCAGGCAGCTTGCGCACTCCCACCGCGCACTTGTGCGAGCGCCCCATGGGCAGAAGCGGAGCTCGCCAGCGCCGAACACGAGTCCGCACGTTTTGCATGTGGCAGGCCGTGTTGACTGCGGCTGGACGGCCACTGCCTAGACTGCCGTTCGGCGAAAGCGGCGACTCGTTGGCTCCTCGACGGCCATGTCGTTTTCATCACGCATCGGGTCCAAATGCACGTCCCCCGCCATTCGGCTGCCGCGGAAGGCGCGTTGGTTTCCCAAGCCGCACCCAGCAGCCTCCCAGGGAGCCGCGAGCCGCGAGGTGTCGGCTGGATGCGCGTACTCCCCGACCCCGCCGCGCCTCCCAGGAGCCCACGGAAGTGGCGACCTTTGCACCGCGACCCAAGGAGCAGCGAAGGAGGAGGCAGGAGGACGGGGAGGCGGGAGAAGGTGTGCGACCGCAGTGCTCTATTCCAAACGAGAACCCAACACAGGCGGGTTGAAAGGAGATAAGGAGAAAGAAGAGAAAGAGGGATAGACAGACAGACAGACAGACAGACAGACAGACAGACAGACAGACAGACAGACAGACAGACAGACAGACAGAAAAATGGGTCCCGCGTTGCCTATCCGCCGACAAGCCACGATCCAAGGGCGCGCCCCAGCCGCACCTGGGGAACGAGGCCATGGCACGGAGCGCCGCGCGGGGTCCAAGCCAGCGCAAGCAGTGAATCGGCCCAGCTGTACCGGGGGCCCTGGCCGGATTGCACTGGTGCGATCGCGGGGGCTTCAGAGGCTGCACGTGCCGGTCGTGGGCAAACGCGCACGCAAGGCACGCCAGGGGGGGGGGAGAGAGAGAGAGAGAGAGAGAAAGAGAGAGAGAGAGAGACAGAGACAGAGAGAGAGAGATAAAACAAAAAAAGAGAGAGAGAGAGAGGAGAGAAAAGGGAGGCAAGAGAAACAATGAACGACAGGACCAAGAGACAGAGATTGCAGCAGAGGTCACGCAGCAGTCGCCAGGGCAATCGAACAGACCTCTGCTGGAACTCATTCCGATGTGGATCTCGTTAGCGAAGCGAAGCAATAGGGCAATAATTGACACAGGTGACGCCCTGGACGCAGCGCGTTTCCAGAACAGCGCGGCAGTCACAGACAGACAGACAGACAGGCAGACAGGCAGACGGACAGACGGACAGACGGACAGACAGACAGACGGACAGACAGGCAAGCAGGCAGGCAGGCAGGCAGGCAGGCAGACAGACAGGCAGGCAGACAGGCAGAGAGGCAGGCAGGCACACAGACACACAGACAGGCAGGCCGGCAGGCAGGTCAGCAGACAGAGAGACTGAGAGACAGGGAGACAGAGAAAGAAGGCCGCTCTGGCGCTGGTGCGGCGCGGCGGGCGCTCCGCGAGGATGAGGGCGACGAAGAGTACGAGGAGGTCGTCGTCGCCCTCACCGGGAGAGGGAACGGGTGCACCACCAAGCGCTGGCGGCGAGCACGCAAAGGGGTGCGGAGGGGCCTTCTGAGAAGGACCGGGGGGGGGGCTTCTTCGGGGGGCCGGGAGGCTTCTCGGGAAGCTTCTTGGAGGGCGGAGTGACCTCGGAGAGGCACCTCTGGCATGAAGGAGACGGGCCCTGGGCCCCAGGGCCTTCGCCCAGAACCAGCTCGTCACCCCGGGTTCGTTTTCTTGGTAGCCCCGGGAACTGAGGAGGGCCCCGAGGGCCCGACGTGAGCGAACACAAAAAACTCAGGACCCGTCTCCTTCACTGGAATCGAGCAGGATATACAGATCCACAGCCTTCCTCCTTTCTCCCCCCTCTCCCCTGATTACCTTTCCCCCCTCCAGGGAGAAGAGAAGGGGAAGGAACTAGGTGGATCTGGACCTCAGTACCCGGTGGCTTCAGGGTGCACACGAACATGGATTACAGATCCGTCGATCTGGCGCGTGGGCGCCAGATCCACGAATCGGGGAAGGTGCCCCCCCAGATCTTGCGGCCAACGCCGCCTGATCTGACGACGGAGCGCGCCGATTCCGCATGGAAACGGGACCCGTCACTAGCTCATGCGCCTCAATCCATGTTCGCGCCGAAACTGTGTATGGCGACTCCGTCCTTTTGGAGGACCAAACAGCTGCATGAGCATACGTGTGCTGAGGTCCGCGCGGAGGTCCTGGATCTGCGCTGAACACCATCCCTGGCGGGCGGAGCGCGCCAGGGGCTCAGCGCAGATCCGAGAAAACCGCGCGGAGCTCCGAAATGACATGTTCATGCTGCATGTCTATGCCGTTGCTTCTTCTTTTTCTCCTTCCTCTTTTTCTTCTTCTTCGTCTTCTTCGAGTAATCCATGTTTGCGCTGCCTCGACCCTCGGCGACTCCGACCTTCTCAGACGGCCGCCCCCCTCGCACACGCCCCCTTCTGCTCGCCGCCGCCGGGCCTCCGCGACCCCACAATGGACCAATACCTTGTGGCACATCGGCTCCCCCGACGGGCGGGGAAGACCACACAACCTAACATCCCCGCGTCGCTTCCAAACAAACAAACGAACGAACGAACGAACGAACAAATAAACAAACAAACAAAAAACCAAACGACAGAAGGCTTTTGTCAGTTTTCGGCCTCTGGGGCCCGCACCGGGCCTCGGAGGCTGCATGATTGCGAAATGCGAAATGCGAAATGCGAAGTGCTCGGGACCCTCAAAAAACTACTCAGGATAAGCAGCTGGTCCACAGGAAGATGTCCAGATTTCTGGCGGGCCACCTTGCGAATGCATCCGGGCGAAAGACCCACCTGCAGTTGTGAGTAACGCAGTTGTGGGTATCGTCCTCAGTGAACCTCTCTGGGGCCATGACGCGTGTGACGGGTGTGCCAAAAATGGCACGGGTGCGCCATGCGGACGCTGCCACAGGAGCCGTCGGCGGAGCACCCTATGGGGCCACGACGCGTGTGCCGGGTGTGCCAAAATGGAGGTGGAGCTGCATGCGGACCCTGCCACTGGGGCCTTCGCCCTATGGGGCCACGAAATGTGTAAGGGGTGCGCCGAAATGGAGGTGAAACTGCAGGCGGACCCTACCAATGGGGCCTTGGGTGGAGCATCCTATGGGGCCACGGAACGTTCGAGGGGTGCGCCGAAATGGAGGTGGAACTGCATGCGGACCCTGCCAATGGGGCCTTCGGTGGAGCACCCTGTGGGGCCACGAAACGTTTCAGGGGTGCGCCGACGTGAATGTGGAAGTGCATGCGGACGCTGCCAATGGGGCCTTGGGTGGAGCACCCTATGGGGCCACGGAAAGTGCGAGGGGTGCGCCGAAATGGAGGTGGAACTGCGTGCGGACCCTGCCACTGGTGCCTTCGGTGGAGCACCCGATGGGGCCACGAAATGTGCGAGGGGTGCGCCGAAATTGGGGTAGGGAGGAGGGGGAGGAGGAAGGAGGAGTGAGTGAGTGAGTGAGTGACGAAGTTCCAAACGAGGACCCAACACCACAAGATGGTTGGTAAAAATCACGACGTCGGATGCCTGGGCACGCCACGGGCCACGGCCTGGCCCAAAACGGGCCTGTGGAGCAGTGAATTCGACGCCAGGATCACAGGGCCGATGCCACCCCCCCCGGAGCTTCCGGCGACTTCCCGGGCGAGGGGGTGGGGGCGGCCCTTCGCCCCCCGCATCCAGAGTTGGGCCCGACAGATCTGCCCCCGTGAGGCTACAAACTTGTGGAAAAGCGCCCCCCCCAACAAAAATTCTCCTGGCGAGAGGGCCAACCATATGCAGTTGTGAATCAGCCACCGTGCCTACAGCACGTGGTGAATGCCCTACAGGCTCACGAAGCCCTGAGAAATTCAGAACTGCAGAATGTTGAAAAGGTCTTCGAAGCCCCCGCCACCGTTTTCACAGGGATATCTGGGCATTCCCCAGGATTCACAAAAGATTCCCCGGGACACCCCCCCCTACAATAATTGTCCTGGCGAGGGGCCCAACAGTATACGGCTGTGGTTACGGTGAAGCTCCCGATGGGGCCACGGAACACGCCAGGGGTGTGCCGTAATGATAGCGGGGTGCCGAAATTGGACACGGAGAAGCATGTGGACCTCCCACTGGTGCCTCCGGCGAACCTCCTATGGGGACACGAAACGTGTGAGGGGGATGCCGAAATAGGGCAGGGAGACGCATGTGGACCCTGCCATTGGAGCCTTCGGTGGAGCTCCCTATGATCCACGAAATGCTGAAACGCTGTACTTGGTGGGGGCGACGCGTGTGGACCCTGACACTGGGGCCTTCGGTGGAGCTCCCTATGAGCCACGAACGCTGTATTGGTAGACGCATGCGAACGTTGCCACTAGGGCCTTTGGTGGAGCTCACCATTGGCTTCAAAACGCTGAACTGGGTGAGGGAGACGCCTGCGAACTTTGCCGCTGGGGCCTTCGGTGGAGCTCCCTACGGGCCACGAAACGCTTTACTGGGTGGGGGAGACGCATGCGAATTTTGCCACTGGGGCCTTCGGCGAAGCTCTCTATGGACTTGGTTCTTAAATTCGGAGTGTGAGAATTCATGTTTTGGCGCTAAAAGGTCGAAACAAGACAACTTAGAGCGCTAAACAAGGGATTCCTTTGTTCGCCTTTTCAGCTACGTTATTTTGCGCCTTCTGATCAGCTGGCTGCATTGATAACATTGCCATCTACGACGTCCTCAATACCTTCTCCTGGCGTGCAGTCCTTCTCCTGGCGTGCAGTCTGGAAGCCCCGATGACCGATTGCCCCTCCTGGGGCCATCGGGCCTTCGGTCCTGTGTCGGGCCAGTGGTAGACCGGTGTAATATTGTTTGTAACGTTATTAGCTCTGGGAGGGAGAACAGCGGCAGAAACGAGCGGGAGCGAAGACACCGGAAGACCATGAGCAGCCTTCGACCAGAAGGCAAAAAACGCTCTAGAAAAAATAATCCACAGCGACGGGCCTGAAAACGCAGGGAGCCTTCTTTTATTTTATATATATATCTATAAATATAGATAGCAATAAAATGTTTTCCCAACCCTCCTGAGTTGGGTTCTCGTTTTGAATAGAGCAATGTAGTCGCCCCGTCCTTCCTCCTTCCTCCTCCCCCCCTGTCCTCCTACTGTCGCCACTTTCGTGGGCTCCTGGGAACCCCAGCGGAGGCACGTCATACGCAGATCACCACGGGATCTCGCCGCCCCTGGGGGGCTGCGATCTGCGCAAATGTCGCCACTTTCGTGGGCTCCTGGGAGGCCCCGCGGAGGTACGTCCAATGCGGACCACCTCGGGACCTCGCCGCCCCCTGGGGGGCTTGCGATCTGCGCAACTGTCGCAACTTTCGTGGGCCCCTGGGAGGCCCAGCGGGGGTGGGTCCCACGCGGATCACCTCGAGACCTCGCCGCCCCGTGGGGGGCTTGCGATCTGCGCAACCGTCGCAACTTTCGTGGGCTCCTGGGAGGCCCAGCGGAGGTACGTCCCACGCGGACCACCTCGGGACCTCGCCGCCCCCTGCCCTGGGGGGCTTGCGATCTGCGCAACTGTCGCCACTTTCGTGGGCTCCTGTTAGGCCCAGCGGAGGTACGTCCCACGCGGACCACCTCGGGACCTCGCCGCCCCCTGTGGGGCTTGCGATGTGCGCAACTGTCGCCACTTTCGTGGGCTCCTGTTAGGCCCAGCGGAGGTACGTCCCACGCGGACCACCTCGGGACCTCGCCGCCCCGTGGGGGTTTTGCGATCTTCGCAACCGTCGCCACGTTCGTGGGCTCCTGGGAGGCCCAGCGGAGGTGGGTCCCACGCGCATTACCTCGAGACCTCGCAATTCCGTGGGGGGCTTGCGATCTGCGCAACCGTCGCCACGTTCGTGGGCTCCTGGGAGGCCCAGCGGAGGTACGTCCAATGCGGACCACCTCGGGACCTCACCGCCCCCTGGGGGGCTTGCGATCTGCGCAACCGTCGCCACTTTCGTGGGCCCCTGGGAGGCCCAGCGGAGGTGGGTCCCACGTCGATCACCTCGAGACATCGCCGCTCCCTGGGGGGCTTGCGATCTTCGCAACTGTCGCCACTTTCGTGGGCTCCTGGGAGGCCCAGCGGAGGTACGTCCCACGCGGACCACCTCGGGACCTCACCGCCCCCTGTGGGGCGTACGATCTGCGCAACCGTCGCCACTTTCGTGGGCTCCTGGGAGGCCCAGCGGAGATGGTCCCACGCGGACCACCTCGGGACCTCGCCGCCCCCTGGGGGGGCTTGCGATCTGCGCAAATGTCGCCACTTTCGTGGGTTACTGGGAGGCTCAGCGGAGGTACGTCCCACGCGGACCACCTCAGGACCTCGCCGCCCCGTGGGGGGGCTTGCGATTGCGATCTCATTGCGCACTGCGGGTCCTTCAGGATGCCACATGTGTAGAAGCGGCTGGGTACGTCACAGAGTAAGTTTTTTAACGTGATTGAATCCTATTGCTTGATAGTACTGATAATCAACAAATTATATGTGAACATATGTGTATATATGTACACAAAATAACAACCAGTCTATATAGCACAAAGCAAAACAAAAAACTGCGTCGCGCTGTTTCTCACACATCCCAAGTGGTGTGCTTGCTTTCTCTAGACACCCTGCGCAGGAACACGAACACACCCTCGCCTCTTAGCCAATAAGTCAACACTCACACACATCATCACTCACACTCACTCAGTCACCCACTCACTCACCCACTCACACACTCAAACACACTCACTCACCCACTCACCAACCCACCCGCACACTCACACACACCCAGCATCATCACTCACTCACGCACTCACTCACCCACTCACCCACTCATTCACCCACCGACCCGCCCACTCAATCACGCACACTCTCATCATCATCATCATCATCATCATCAACATCATCATCATCATCATCAGCATCATCATCATCATCATCATCAGCAGCATCATCAGCATCATCAGCGTCATCATCATCATCATCATCATCATCATCATCATCATCATCACCATCAGCATCATCATCAGCATCATCACCATCGTCACCATCGTCATCAGCACGATCCCCATCACAATCATCATCGTTATCGGCAGCATCATCATCATCATCATCATCATCATCCTCATCATCATCATCATCTTCTTCTTCACCCACTCACTCACTCATTCGCTCACGCACTCATCTCAGGCAGGAGCCGCGTCTGTGAGTGAATTGCGAGGAAGTCTCAGGCGGGAGCCCCTTTTTTCCTATGGGGCCCGCAGCTCATGTTACTAATCCGAGCGGGTCATCGGAATCCTGTAACTGTCGTCACGTCGGGCCTCTTCAAGCTTGCTGATGGCGGAAATCTCAAGCGGGAGCCTCGCCTGTGAGTGGATGGCGAGGAAGTCTCAGGCGGGAGCCTCTCCATGCGGGGCCCGCAGATCATGAAACTAATCCGAACAAACCAGCGGAATCCTGTAAATGTCGTCATGTTTGAGCTCCTGAAGCCTGAGTCTGGCGGAAGTCTGAGGCGGGAGCCTCGTCAGTGAGTGAATTGCAAGGAAGTCGCAGGCGGGAGCCCCCTCCCTATGGGGCCCGCAACTCATTTTACGAATCCGAGCGGGCCTTCGGAATTGGCGGAAATCTCAGGCGGGAGCCTCGTCTGTGAGTGAAAGGCGAGGAAGTCTCAGGCGGGAGCCCCCTCCCTATGGGGCCCGCAACTCATGTTAGTAATCCGAGCGGGCCATCGGAATCATGTAACTGTCGCCATTTTGGGGCTTTTCAAGCTTGAGTACGGCGGAAGTCTCAAGCGGGAGCCTCGTCTGTGAGTGAAACGCGAGGAAGTGTCAGGCGTGGGAGGGCCTGCCTATGGGGCCAGCAGCTCACGGTATTAATCCGAGCAGGCCATCGGAATTCTGTAACTATCGCCACTGTTGGTCTCTTCAAGTTTGATCATGGCGGAAGTCTCAGGCGGGAGCCTCGTCTGCAAGTGAATTACGAGGACGTTTCAGGCGGGAGCACCCTCCCTATGGGGCCCGCAGCTCATATTACTAATCCGAGCGGGTCATCGGAACCCTGTAATTGTCGTCGCTGTTGGGCTCCTGAGGCCTGAATGTGGGGGAAGTATCGGGTGGGAGCCTCGTCTGTGAAGGAATGGCGAGGAAGTCTCAGGCGGGAGCCCCCTCCCTATGGGGCCCGCAACTCATGTTACGAATCCGAGCGGGTCATCGGAACCTTGAAACTGTCGTCACTTCTGGGCTCCTGCGGCTTGAAGACGGAGGAAGTACCGGGTGGTAGCCTCGTGTGTGAGTGAATTACGACGACGTTTCAGGCGGGAGCACCCTCCCTATGGGGCCCGCAGCTCGCGTTACTTATCCGAGCGGGTCATCGGAACCCTGTAATTGTCGTCATGTTTGGGCTCGTGGGGCCTGCATATGGCGGAAGTGTCAGGCGGGAGCCTCGTCTATGAGTGAACTGCGAGGAAGTCTCAGGCAAGAAAGTCTCAGGCGAGGAGGAGGGGGAGGGAGAGGAAGAGGCGGAAGACGAGGAGGAAGAGGAGGAGGAGGAGGAGGCGGAAGAGCAAGAAGATGAGAAATGCAAAGAGCAGGACGAGAATAAACAGGAGGAGGAGAAGGATGAGAAGGAGGAGGCGGAGGAGGAAGAGGAGGACGCAGAGGGCGGAAGGAAGGCCTCCGCCAGTCGAAGAAGAAAAGGGCGAGGGACAAGCTAAATAGATGTTCATGTGGGGTCCTACCGTCGGAGTAATTGTTGCGTGGTTAGTTTGCAAGATGCCAAACTGCAAAACGCAGATATGCAAAAAACAAAGTAAACGTCCAGGGCGCTTTCAAGCAGAACCCAGTCTCTGCCCCGCGAAATGCTGTGCTGTGGGGGAGACTCGTGCGAACTATGCCACTGGAGCCTTCGGTGGAACTCCCTACGGGCCACGATACGTGGTGAGCTGTGCCGAACTGGTTGACTGATGCGGAGAGCAGAGGCAGGGCAGAAGCAGGGAAAGGAGGAGGGGAAGGATGGGAGGAGGAGAGGGGACGGGGGGGGCGTCTCTTCAAAACGAAGACCCAACATCACAGGATGGTTGGGAAAAACATTTGGAGGTCTTGGTGGTGGTGCACGCTCTCTTGTGGGGGCAACGATAGGAGGGGATAGGCATCATAAGGGGGGATGAAACGACCTCGAATGGCCGACACATCGCCCATGTATCGTCGATACTTCGCCGATGCAGGCCGCCACATGTGCCGTCTGTAAATCGTCGATACATCGCCCCTGGTAATAACGATTGCATCGTCGATACATCGTCGATGTATCCACCATTCGAAGTCGATGCATCCGCCTCTCTGCCGATCCCCCGCATCGCTGCCCCCGATCTCCCTCCCCGACCTCCCGGTGGACTCCCTGCGCTCCACGACCCCGGACGCGGTGGAAGTATGTCTTCTCCAGGATCCGCCCGGGGTCATCGAGGCGCTCGCCTCGCAGGCCGCGGGAGAGGACGAGGGACAAGGAGGAGCGCGTGGCCGACCGAAAAGAAGGGGGGATGCGGACTATGATTTTGCTCCGGCATGGAGGCGGAGAGAGGAGGGGAGGCAGCAGGACCAGAGAAAACCCAACACGCATCAACGACGATGCCATCCACCCTCCGTCCCTAGCCCGCTCCTCATACAGTAAACCCGTACAATTAGGACCCACGATAAGAATGCAAGGGCCCTGGGAGGCAATGTCGGTATTTTGCGAGCGGGGCGCGGCCAAGAATGTGCCGAAGGGGAATGCCAGGGTGAGCTTGGAACTGCTCAACCTTACCATGCGGGTTGACTGTGAGTCCCTGCGCGCCTGCGTGCTCACTACAAGGAATGCCCCCTGGAAAAACCTGTGCTTGATGGGCCTGCCCTTCAGGGGAGAGCACCGTCATAAAAAGCGAACTGCCTTGCATCCGCCTGATGACAAGCTACAAATGCCAAAAAGGCACGACCATGAAGCTCAACGAGGCGCCCAGCGAGATCACCGTCTTGAAGAAGGACCACCCGCATCTGTGAAACTGTTGCACAAGGTTGCAAGAATGGCCAAGAACTTCGAGGAAGTCTCAAGCGAGAGCCCCCATGTTGGACTAACCACTAACCACTACGCACTACTCCCTATTCCAGCACTCACGGCTCACTACTAGCTACTCACTACTCACTACCCACGACTCAAAACTCACTACTCACTAAACACAACTCACTACCCACTACTCACTAATCACGAATCACTACCCAATACACACGAACCACTATCTACTGCTCACTACTCACAACTCACACGTCACTACTCACTACTCACTACCCACAACTCACTACTCACTATCCACTACTCGCTACTCGATACTCCCTACTCGCTGCTCACTACTGACTGCTCCCTCCTCACTACTCACTACTCGCAGCGCCCTATTCACGACTCACTATGCACTACTCGCTACTCCCTACCCGCTACTCACTAATCACTACCCACTCCCCCCTGCCCACTATTCACTACTCACTACTCACTATTCCCTACTCACTGCGCACTACTCACTCCTCACTCCTCACTATTCGCTACTATCTACTCACTACTCACTATTCACTACTCACTACTCACTACTATCTACTCACTACTCACTACTTACTATCCCGAGGCAAGACCCCCCCCCTTGCGGGAGAGGCCCTCTCCCCGGCCCCCTGTTCGGCGCAAAGGGGGGAGGGGGAAGGGGGGTCGACCCCCCCCCCTTTCCAGCGCCAAGGGGGGGAGGGGGGGGAGGGATCCGGACCCCCCCCCCCTTTCAAAGGGGGGGTGGGTCGGAACCACCACCCCGCCTGAAGGGGGGGCAGGGGGGAGGGGTCGAAAATCTCACTCCCCCTTTGAAGGGGGGGACGGAGGGGGGTTCTGCGAAGACCGCCCCCCTTTACAACTACCGGGGGGTCCACTGGCGCGCTTTCAAGGGCAAGGGCAAGGGCAAGGGCAAGGGCAAGGGCAAGGGTAAGGGTAAGGGTAAGGGTAAGGGTAAGGGTAAGGGTAAGGGTAAGGGTAAGGGTAAGGGTAAGGGTAAGGGTAAGGGTAAGGGTAAGGGTTAGGGTAAGGGTAAGGGTAAGGGTAAGGGTAAGGGTAAGGGTAAGGGTAAGGGTAAGGGTAAGGGTAAGGGTAAGGGTAAGGGTAAGGGTAAGGCTAAGGCTAAGGCTAAGGCTAAGGCTAAGGCTAAGGCTAAGGCTAAGGCTAAGGCTAAGGCTAAGGCTAAGGCTAAGGCTAAGGCTAAGGGTAAGGGTAAGGGTAAGGGTAAGGGTAAGAGTAAGGGTAAGGGTAAGGGTAAGGGTAAGGGTAAGGGTAAGG